TTCAATTCCACTATTAATCATACCTACGCTAATATGCCATTATAGGTACACTTATTTCTAGCTTAATTAGATGTATTGGTTTGTAGCTTCATTAAATGTGTTTTGTGTTTAACAGTATACTTTTATTGGGTGGATTCCTGTTCTGCTATTAAGAACCGCAGTGAAAATTAAAGTTATTCCCGGCATTTATTTTTCTCTCAGCAAAAATTTATCAATGCACAAATTCTATGCATTTCAGGCACAATGATTACACTGTCAAGTGGGAAAAGGCAGATGATGCACGACAACTACACTTACTTTAAGCATTACGACATCAAAAAAATCAAGGACCAGAGTAAATGGAGTTGCACAAACTTCCCCAGATGCAAGGCATATGTTTTGGTCCACAAGAACATACACATAAAAGAATTTATTAATGAACATAACCACGGCCCGAAGAATTTTATTGTGAAAGGTGGAATGTACTTTAAGGTTTAAACCAGTATGGGGCAGTGGGAATATAGATCCCACCATATTTTGAACCTTCTTCGCATGTTTGAAGGTCCAAAAACAATGAAAATTTTGATAATGTTATAATGTTTTTAATGGAGATATTAACGAACTCTCTTTTAGTACAAACAATTTCTGCAGTCAGTGTCAAATAGTTCTACTGAGATCAGTATTGAGATCTTATTTTATAGTGATTTGATTGATACTTCAGTTCAATGTAACTATAATTTTAAGATTTTTTTTGTACGGGCCCGGGCACGCGGTATGTTAATTTAGCAAGCATAATAAAAAATAACATTAAAATAAGAATTTATGTTCATTATTAGTAGTGTTCTTAGTCAAGCCCCAAGTATTTCGTATCTTAGTTTTTTTCTGCTTAAGTACGAGTATCCATAGTTGCATGATAGAAATAAGATCCTACAGATATTATAACAGTATTTTATTATATTGTAGAACTGGTTGGTAACAACACCATGGAAAATAATGAAAAACGTGGAAAAAAGCGTAATTCGGATACTTTGGTAACTCCTATATTGAAGAAAGTTAAAGAAGAAACCATGGAAAATACCACAACCGTTATTCCATGTGAGTTCAAGGTGCCAATATGTGATGCCAGTTGTAAATTTTGTTGTTCTTCAAATTTCTCTTCTGAGGAACAAGAAGAATTAAATTCGCTCTTTTTAATGTTGTCACCTAAGCAAAAGGCAATATTCTTTGTTACTTATACGATACATAATAAAGAAAAGCAAGAAACTAACGGAATGAAAACTTTTGAGTACTATTTACCTAAGGAAGGTGCGGTCAACTCTAAAGTGAGGGTCTGCAAGCGATTCTTTTGGGCAACTTTTATAAGCAAGTAATATAAATAAATATTTGTAGATGGATGAAGTCCAATTTTATGTTACCTACTGTACGTTATAGGAGTTATAGCGTAGATCTCGTATTGCCATTTTTTAACTTTTATCTAATTCAAAATGTACTATGCCATAATTCCAAAATTACTATAATAATATGTTATGAAGATTTTACATAAAGCTTGTTTTAAATATTAGAAGTACATAAGTTTATTCTAAACATGAAGTCATACACAAAACTTGTGCCAAAAACTCACATAAGGAAGTTAATATTAGAAAGTAGACTAATTATTAAGAAGTAGGTTTTCTTGTAATCTCTTAATATTTATAGGAAACATAGGTTCCTTCTACTGTAGACTGCTGTGCATTCCATGTAATGTAGTTTTAATTCCATGATCTTTTAAAAACAATTTGTAACCATTATTGTTATAATATTCAAATAAATGTGATAAAAATTTACATTTTAATTCTTCATTTGTTTCGTATTTAGGTAATTCGCTACCTGTAGTAAATACTGTTAAACTTAGATCAACCTCTGAAACATACATAAGTTTGTACCTACCTACAGTCAGCGTCAAATAGTTCGTTCGTGGTAGTTTCGTAAAATCTTTTCTTAGCGGATGTCTACACCCTTTAAGGAACCAACCTGCCAAGGTTATAGGTGTTGTTGTATCTGAGATTTCGTGATGAGTCAGTCAGTGACCTTTACATAATATAGATTTATCCCACTTATTTATTTTAAAGCCCACAATCACCCTCCAAATGGGTTTCGTAAGGGCCTCAAAAATATATTATTTTTTTATTTTTTTTATAGCGAAATTATTTTATTTCTTTATAGTTAAAGCACATAAGTTACACGTAAGTATATCACTTACGTTGATCACCCGTTTAAAGCAGTACTTATTTCCACTACTTTAAACTCGGGGTAATCGTTAAGGTTGTGATACTGGTGGTATGTATGTATGTGTCAGTGTTATTGAATGAATTGCAATTAGTAGTATCAACGAAGAAAGAAGTAACATAATATTTTTTTGCAGAATTTGCTTTCATCGTAACAGTGAACGACCGACGTCTCTANACATACCATATGCCTACATAAATATTATTTCCCTCCAAAGAAAGGTTTTGTACATAAATAGTCAATAAATTGTGAATTTATAAGAGGTGTGTTTTAATGATCACTGAGGTAATGGTACACCCAAATTTAGCATAGCACTCTTACTCTTTTTTTTAAAAGTGCTTTCAGGTATTTTTGGGTCTTAAACTTAGTCTTTATGTCCAGTTGACAGGACGTTTGTTTCATNTATTTTTTTAATTTTCATACAAAATAAATTTTGTAAATTCCGATTTGTATGAAAATTAAAATAATTAAAATGAAGATATCAATTTTCTGACTTCACCATACCATTTATATGCCCATGTTAACATGGGCTAGTGTCGGCTCATATACCCATTTACCAAACACCCTGTATACATATATGTATATATATATATTTTTTAATCACATTTTTAATAAGCAACTATTGGATTAAATGGGTAGATTCAAATGCAATAGACAATTTGACACCATTCCCCTATAATTCGAAATAACAACTTTTCTAAAAATACACATCATTCTGATCTTAAAAACTTACCTGTAAATTACGATTTTTGGTCGCATTGTAATTGAAAAAAGTAGTTTATTTGAGTTGACAAAATAGTGACATCACTTGCTTGTAGTGCCATACAAAATCTATGGGAGTTTCGTTTTGACAGTTTTAAAAAGTATGTCAATTGATTGGTGGAGTCTATTTAGTGAAACTTACTTGGCTGCAACGTCACACATGTTGACATGTCATCATTTTAAATAGGTCTGTCTGATTTCTTAACAATCAGCTTTACTTTGCACTTGTTAATGTTATTACTTTAAAGTTGAAATATCATTTATGATCTTTTAGAAGAAAATGAAGAAATTTCAATTTTTATTGTGTTTTTTAGATCAGCTCGTTGGTACAGCGAAATTATATTTCTCTATAGTTAAAGCACATAAGTTAAACGTAAGTATATTACTTACGATGAACACCCGTTTAAAGCAGTACTTATTTCCACTACACTTTAGCCTAGGCGCAGACCATCGATTTTTCGTCGGGCAGTTAATCAGTATGGGCATGTATGGAAGTGCGCACATTACACCGATTCGATTTGGCCGATTGTTCATGCAATTGAAAATCGGGCACAACTATCGGCCAACTAAAAATCAACGGTCTGCGCCTAGTCTTAAACTCGGGGTAATCGTAAAGGTGTGATACTGGTGGTATGTATGTGTCAGTGTTATTGAATTAATTACAATTAGTAGTCTCTACGAAGAAATAAGTAACATAATATTTTTTTGCAGAATTTGCTTTCATCGTAACAGTGAACGACCGCCGTCTCTACACCCACAATGGCCACCTCTACTCCAGAGCTCCTTACTCCAAGTATAGATGGCGCTGTATCCACACAAACTACTGCTACGTCAGCATGTTGGTCGATGAGAACGGGTATCCGAAGAAAGGCCCGTTTAACGAACACACTCATCCCCCAAAAAGATTAGTGCTGACTTCAAGCGGGAAATACAAAATTTTGAAGGATCATCGATAAGATAAACACTTGTGTTGACAAGTCCCATAGACCCCATAGTGTAATGCCTTTGGCCTTTGATCGCGCCGATCTGCACGCGTTAGTGTGGTCGACTAAGATGATTGGTGGTCGAAGCTTAAAAGTTACACGCGTTAAACACTGGTTTAAAACGAAGTTTAGTATGGAAATTACTTTTGGAACGCGCATGCAATTTTTATAAGCAAGGGGCTCGAACTATAATAACGGAGGTAACAATATCTATTCTTGCCTTTTCAATTAATAATACCCGTAATGAATAGGACTCTCATGTTATTTATTAACTGTAGATAATATATCAAATTGATGTTTGATAAACAACATTATAATATTTATAATACACTCTGCAAAACAAAGTTTTACACTTTTAAAATTTCAATTTGTTCTGAATTATAGAAGTTAGATTTATAATAAAAAACGTTATATAGCAATCCTTCCAGCTTTCTTTGAAACTATACTAGTAAACTATTCAACTTTAATCCGGATCCTTTTTATTTTGAAAGTATATCTTGTGTACGTAAAAAGTTATTGCAATTTTAAAAGTATGATTCTTACTTTTGCAGCTCAGTGTACATAAAGTAGGTTGTCATGTATAGCAAGAAATTAGTTGTATGTTAGGTGTTAGTTTAAGAATAAGACAGAAAACTAAATAATAAATAATCGTATGTTTAAACTTCAGCTACAAATTGATTTTAATATGTAGTTGCGCCTGATATATTAGTATTTTTCATCGACTGTACTTTTGGAAATCATGGAAAGATATATTTCTTGTAGTTTACACAATAAATGATTATAGATTTTAATTCTTCTTTTACTACCTATCATTCTCCTGAGTGATTTTTATTTTGATAGAAATTCGAAGGATTTAATCGTAGAATTAGGTCTATAATAATGTCCGTTTTCACCATCTATCCCTAATTTTTAAGTGACCCCTATGGTAACACATAATACGTGTTTTCAAAGGGGTCACTTAAAAATCAGGGGTTGGTGGTAAAAACGGGCATAAATCTGGTTTAATATTAAGTAAGGAAAAATACCTAAAACTTCCAAGCTCCTTTCAGAATTAAAGCTGATCAAGTTGGTAAACGGCAAGCAGCATTACTTATACCGAGGGTTTTCCTACTGCCCTGAAAGGACCAGGCCCGGGCGTTGGAGGTGTACCCAAGGATGCAGAGCATACCTAAAAGTGTCGGAAGGGAAGCTGAAGAGGGCATACCACGCACATAAACACCCGCCTCCGAAGTACATCAAATTACAAGATGGCTTTTACAGGAAAATAAAAAGACAACGGAAGAACCTTTAACCAGAGTAAATACAAATGAGTAGGTCATCATCATAGAAACGCACCGAGCTCGGTTTGTTTCTGAGCGCGCGCCAATACGTATGCGGCGCGCACGCACACACTGACAAATTCGGGACAGCAAACCGCGCTCGGCAACAAAATACTCTGCTTTAACAGAACATTGCAGCTACCTATATGACGCTCTTGAAGTGCCTCTCTATTCATTTTGCGCTCAGTAATTGGCACCACAGGCGATTCACAGGACCTTACTTTTTGTAGCACTCCTTCCTACAGTGATGCCAATATTGGTGACCGCAAATACAATGCAATGTTTCTGTATAAGATTATTTTCACTGGTTAAAATTGTATTGTACATTGGAGAAATATACTGTAATTATATATTTGGAATATCATTTAACTATGCAGTTTTTCACTATTATTAAGAATATTTACGAATATTTTTGATTTTAGTATATAACGAATCAAATTATATTGACAACCAATGTGAAAGAGCCATTATTGGCAAAAAATAGTATTAAAAGTATCTTATCGGCCGTTTGGTGTAGTGGTTCAGAACGGACTACTATGCCGAGAGGTCCCGGGTTCGATTCCCGGCCGGGCAGAAATTGAAATGATGAATTTTAATTTCTGTGACGGGTCTGGGTGTGACTATGTATAATATTTATGTATTTAAAAAAAAAAGGATATAAGTAGTATATCCGTTAAGCTAGCACTCATAACACAAGCATTAAGTTGCTTACTTCGGGGCTAGCTGGCGCTGTGTGAAATTGTCCAAAGATTTATTTATTTATTTATTTATTTTATGTTTGTACTTACAGATCATCTTCGAAAGTCATTACTGATGTCATTAAGTCATTTTCTTAGCACCGAACCAAAAGAACAGACTAGTAATAACGAACAGAAAAATAAACATAAGAAACAAAAGAAGAACAGAAGGGTCGGATCTGTATCATACAAAATAAAAAATAAAGATCTTAAAGATAAAGGCAAAGAATATGTTACAAAAAAAGGAAAAGTGATCGCAGAAAAAACAATTAGAGAAAATCCTTGTGCACCTGGAAAATGTCCAAGGGGTTGTTATGAGATAACTGAAGAGCAAAGGAGGACCATTTTTAATTTATACTGGAGTCTCGGTGTGCACCGTCGTTCTGATTTTTTGATTCGCTGCGCTAAAATTGGATCTATAAAGAGAAAGAGACAGAAAGACTCTGACAAAAGGAAATTCACAGTAGATTACTATATCAATGTAGGTAAAGATCATAAACAAGTTTGCCAGCAATTTCTTCTCTCTACTTTGGATGTAACTCAAGGACATATACAATACACTCTAAGAAATGCAAAAGAAGTGTTCAATAAACGGAGAAATACTTACAGAAAATAGGATATAATAGGTGTTTTATTATTTTTCAAATCAATTGTATTGAATTTCGTACAAACAAAGAATAATAAATATAACTCTTTAAGTAAATATAATTACTTGTGAAATCTTTGAGTGTTTTTACTTATTAATGCAAGAATCCTTAATTATGATTGGTGTCGCAACGCAAAGGATTTTTTTGTTTTAATTGCATGTTCCAATCTCTATGAACCTTCAAAGTTATAAAGGTCCTGCGGTCGATAATAATTGGTCATGCTGATCAAATTTTTCAATAAAAAATATATGCAGAAGTAAACTTTGACTAAACACCTAGTGCAATTATTGGTTTTGTTTAGCTTATCTTGGGGGGTCAAATTTTGTAATTGTAGCCAAAAGGTACTTCTTTCTTAGAGTTTTCGTTTGTTGTGGATAACGTGCTTGTTGTTTTAATTAGATCATACAGTTAATTGATTTGTATATTTTTTTCAGTTAACGTCTCCGGTGAAATAATAGAGGAATATTTATTAAATTTCAATGAAACCTATTTCGAGAGCGACGGAGAAGAAGAATTGCCCCTTTTTTCGTCAAGTTCGGATTCTTACGAATCAGATAATGAATCGCTTGATTATACTAATACGAGTCTAGGAAGAGGCAGACCACGCGTACGTAAGATTCGACGTCAAAGAAGTCGCCAAGACTCTCGACGTACCACTCCTGAATCCCCCCAAGCTACGGAATGGTCTAACGAGGATTTCATTCCCAACATAGTTACGTTTACAGAGCCAGCGTACCTGCCTTTAAATAGCGATGGGTACAATGAAACAAATTATTTTACACAGTACATAAACGAAGAATTAGTAAACCTCATCGTTGACAAGTCCAATTTAAGTTATGCTGTAGATACAGGGTCACAACTTAACCTAACGGCCGCAGAATTCTACCAATTTCTCGGAGTGAGTCTGGCAATATCGTGTATTGGCTATCCGACTTTACGGATGTATTGGGATCGGAAATTCAAATTTCCTTTGATATGTGCCGCTATGACCCGTGATCGATTTGTTTTGTTGAGAAACAGGATTAAATTTGTAGTAGATGCTGATGTTTCAGTTGAAGAACGTAGTGCTGATAAGTTGTGGAAAGTCCGTCCATTGATTAATGCAATTAAACAAGGTTGTCGCGCACTGCCAAAGCAACAATGCCTCTGTGTGGATGAGATAATCGTTCCATTTACAGAACAGTGTAGTATTAAACAATACTGCCCTGGAAAGCCTAATCCTGTTGGCTTAAAAATGTTTGTGCTTGCTGATCCTCAGGGCCTAATATGCGATTTCGACGTATATCAAGGACAGTGTACTTACCCTAATTACGATAACACTCATTTCAGTTTGAGGGAGAAAGCGGTCTTAAATCTTACAGAGGATCTTATTCCTGGGCACAAACTGTATTTTGACCGTTATTTTACTAGTGTCAAATTGATAAAAGAGTTAACAAAAAGACACTTGATGGCCACTGGAACAATTCAGAAAAAACGTATTCCTGCATCAGCTAAACCTTTGATACAAAATAACCGCGAACTGCATCATGAAGGTCAAGGAGCTTGTGAAGTTTTGACTGATTCCAGCGATAATATAGCGATAACTCAATGGTTCGATAATAAACCCGTTCTTCTTATGTCCAACATTCATGCCAAGGAGCCTACAGATACCTGCAAGAGATGGTCAAAGTCTTTAGGTATTTACACACATGTCTCTAGACCTGACGTCATAAAAGCTTACAACACCAACATGGGTGGTGTTGAATCAGCTGTCAAATTACTGGCTGTCGCTCCGAACCGCTACAAAAGCCGAAAATGGACAGATAGATTCTTCGGTCATATGATAGATCTGGCAGTAAGTAACTCGTGGGTTTCATATAAAGCTGATCAGACTGCTCGAGGGACTCCAAGTAAACACATCAAACAGTTCCGAAGTTTCAAATTGGAGTTAGCTAATGTCTTAATTGATACATATTTTGAGACCTCGACTGCTCCAAATTTATCATCCCCGTCCACTCCTCAGAAGAAGCGAAGAGGCAGGATCCCTGTGATTCCAACACCATCTCTTCGATGCAGAAGGTATAATGCCAGACACATTGCCATATTTGCAGATCGACAAAATAAATGCAGGGTCTGCCACAAAAAAACTTGGATGTCATGCACGAGTTGCCAGATTAATTTGTGTATCGTGAGAGACAGAAACTGCTTTAGGGACTTCCATTCTTAGTCAGTGAGTTCAGAAAGTTTGAATATTGTTTTTAGAAATCTTTTATTAGTTTATTATGTTGACCTTTATTTTTTGTTGTAATGCTGAACTTGTTGAATTTTACGAGGAAATAATACCTCAGATGACGTTTATTTCTAGACCGATTTTAGTAGTCTGTATGTGTGAAAGAAGTTTCTATAATGAATAATTTTGTTTTTTCGAATTTTCATTTTTTTTGCCAATGTTGACTCGGTATTTTGAAGAAATTAAACAATCGTTGATTTTTCTGTGCTAAATAAATTAAGAATACAATTATTTTACTTTTTTATTTAGTTTTGCCTTGTACCCTTATTTAGCACTCTTATTCACATTTTACTAATTTACTTATTCAATATTTATTGCACAGTAGTAGTTTGAAGAACCTTCGGTTATTCCTTCTTGTAAAATTTAACCAATGTAGTTAAATGAATGTAGTAAAAGCCATTTTTGCCCAAAATGACAGTTTCGTTCTGCAAAATGTTTTATTTAAGCTTCTAAATCATTTGCAAGAATCTTCTGTTTTTCCTTACAGGTTATCTACGAAAGACATTGCTGATTCAAGATCCTTTAAAAAAACAGACTTGTGATAACGAACAGAAAAATAAACATAAGAAAAAAAGGAGTGTAGGAACTGTTAATACATACAAAATAAATAAAGAACTTAAAGATAAAGGCAAAGAATATGTTACAAAAAAAGGAAAAGTGATCGCAGAAAAAACAATTAGAGAAAATCCTTGTGCACCTGGAAAATGTCCAAGGGGTTGTTATGAGATAACTGAAGAGCAAAGGAGGGCCATTTTTAATTTATACTGGAGTCTCGAAATGCGCCGACGCTCTGATTGGTTGATTCGCTGCGCTAAAATTGGATCTGTAAAAAGAAAGAAAAATAAGGACTCTGACAGAAGGAAATTATCAGTAGATTACTATATTAATGTAGGTGAAGATCATAAAAAAGTTTGCCAACAATTTCTTCTCTGTACTTTAGATGTATGTCAAACTCGTTTAACCTACGCCTTAAAAAATGCTAAGGAACTGTTTCATAAACGGAGAAATACTTACAGAAAATAGGAAATATGCCAGGTTTTTTTATTATTTATATTTCTATAGAGTTTCGTACAAACAAATAATAATGTAACTTTTTAAGTAAATGAAAATGTTAAATGTTTCGTAAAACTTTTTATTTTAATTTTCAATGTTATTTTTTCTGTCTTCTGCCTTGTCTCTTATCCTATCTCCACTGCAGAAGTATGTCCCTCACTAATATACCAATAGAAAATGGAGGATTTGGTCTACACTCCCCAAACCTGTTGGGAGGCCTGTCTATCTCCATCTACTTTTTTCACAATTACTAAGAACACATGAATATTTTTGATGAATGTTACTAATCAGAATGATATCAAACCTTTAAACAACCAATGTAGTAAAAGCCATTTTGCCAAAATGCCATTTTCCATCTGCAGTGTTGAAATTTTTTTTATTTTGAAAATTATTGGTGACAATCTTCTGTTTTTCCTTGCAGATCATCTACTAAAGACATTACTGATTCACGATCTTTTAAATAATTTTCCCAGCACTGAACCAACAAAACAAACTTGTGTAAACGAACAAAAAAATAAACATAAGAAGAAAAGGAGTGACGGACATGTTAATAACAAAACAAATAAAGAACTTAAAGATGAAGGTAAAGAATATGTAACAAAAAAAGGCAAAGTGATCGCAGAAAAGGCAATGAGGAAAAATCCTTGTGTACCTGGAAAATGTCAAAGAGGTTGTTTTGAGATAACTGAAGAGCAAAGGAGGGCCATTTTTAATTTATACTGGAGTCTCGACGTGCACCGACGCTCTGATTGGTTGATTCGCTGCGCTAAAATTGTATCTGTAAAGAGAAAGAGAAATAAGGACTCCAACAGAAGGAAATTCTCAGTAGATTACTACATTAACTTAGGCAAAGATCGTAAAAAAGTTTGTCAAAAATTTATTCTCTCTACTTTGGATGTATCCCAAAAACGTTTAACCTACACTCTAAAGAATGCAAAGGAAGTGTCTAATAAACGAAGAAATACTTACAGGAAATAAAGAATATTATGTAAAGATTTTTTCTTACATTTCTATAGAGTTTCTCCTACAAACAAAGATATTGTATGTGTCTCTTAAATTAAATAAAACTATAAAATGTTTTGTAAAACTTTTTATAGTCCGTTTTTTTTTTATAAATAAATAAATAAATATCCTTGGACATTTTACACTGCGCTTCTAGTCCCAAACTAAGCAAAGCTTGTACTATGGGTACTAGACAACGGATATAAACATACTTAATTTTTTTTTTGTAAATACATACTTATTATACATAGAAAACACCCAGTCCAATACAAACAAATATGTTCATGAACACAAATGTTTGTACTGTGCGGGAATCGAACCCGCAACCTCCAGAATAGTAGTCCGTTTCGAACCACTACACCAAACGGCCGACTGTTTATTCAGAACTAAGGTATCACCGCAATCACACCTAATGTTAACTGAGAAGCAGTCTAGGATGGTACCTGCAACTGCCCTATAAGTGCCTATTCACTCTCGCCTTAAAAAGGCCCGAATTATAGTGTTCGGGAAACAGCAGCAGGCAGCGAATTCTAGTCCCTAGCGAATATAATATATCTATAGATGCATGCATTATACTCATGCATGTCTACTTGCAATACAGTCTGGAGGTTGAACTCACGTGCCATTTATTCAACAGGCGACCTAAAACTGGTCACAATGGTGAATGGAAAGAAATTTTTCATGTATAAAGGTTACACTTACTCTTTCGGGTTCTCTTCCCGGGCGGGCCAGAGGTGGCGGTGCAGCTGTGGATGCAAGGCCTTCATCATGGTGTCAAACGAGGGTAGTCTGTTGAAATCATCCGGGGATCATAACCACGGCCCTTACAAGTTCGTTCAGATCGCAGATGGAAGATACTGCAGAATGTGATCTGACGTCACATACTATACAAAAAGTCAGAATATTCTTATTTTTTGTTAGATTTAGTTACCAATAGAATGTCTTATAATCTGAACACGATCTGTCGATCAAATTATTTAATTTGTATGTGTAGCTTAACAATAAATAGGTTATGTAAAAATAATATGTGTATTTGAATACATGGTCATAAAACTTATTTTTATACTTGATGTATAATAGGCGGTAACATATTCCTATAGGTTATTCACCTATATGTATCAGAATCAAAATATTATAGGAGAAAGAAATGACGTTATCAGTGAAGAGAGTTTCTAAAACACTGTGTTTATTATAAAAGATCATATTATGTTTTAAGGTGAAGAATATGAAATAATAACACTATTAAACACCAATGACAAGCAGTTCATCATGTACAACAAATACACGTACAGCTTCAGGTCCCAGTCCCGGGTGGGACAATCTTGGAGGTGTACTAGCACTCTACACTGCCGAGCTAGCATCAAACTGAATAACGAGGGGAAAGTAGTAAAGGCCGTTGGGGTCCATAACCATTCACCACCGATGTACCATAAGACAGCTGACGGGAGGTATGTTAAAATTTCTCGACGATAGCTCAAGTGTCGGCGTCGGACTGCCGATTTGAAGCTCGGCAAGTCGATCCCCATCGAGCGCTAGACCATTGTGGTGAAACCACTTGTGACGCTAGCATATTTAGCTTAACTGTAGTGGTTAACGGACAAAATAGTAATTGTGCAGAAAATTGATTTTGTTAAGGACGGAAATTTTGTAATAGAATGATTTGTATTGCATGAAAATATGAATACATTTTGATATGACAAAATCGTTTCATTCAAACCTTTAGCATCAGGAAATAGCAAAACTAACAGAAAGGTACGCTAGAAATGTTAAATACTTACTTATCTAACTCACGCTTAATGCATGAAATATCACGTTTTTTTAAGCTTATGTAGGTGTAATAAATAATCATTGCATAACCTACTAACAATCAAGGATATACTTATCTAAGTTATTATTTTGCAGATTTCAAAGCTATCACTCTGAGGAATAGCGAGATAAAGTTCTTCATGTATAAGGGTTACACCTACTCCTTCGGGTTTTCAGCTCGCAATAACCAGAGGTGGCGGTGCACAAACTCCCGCGAGTGTAAGGCCTCCATCGTGATCAGCAATCAGGAGGAGTTCCTCCAGGCCTTTGGGACCCACGACCACCCCCCTCCAAAATACAAAAGCATTGATAATAACTTAAAAATTTAATCGCCTAAGGTGGGAATCGAACCCACGACTTGCTTGCCAGGGGACAGCTCTGGCCATCTAAGCTGCTTAGTACGCTAGGTACGTGCTAACGGGAACGGAACTATTCCCACCTCTCGTTCCCACCACTGCAACTCCTGTGTAGCCAGGATCTACAGCTTGACCGCCATAAAAACCCAACCAATGAAGGTCAAGTTTGTCCCGGGGGACAGTGAAATTAATGAAGACCCGCAACGAAATTAATCAGAAGAACATAGGAGGAGTTCGAAATTGAGGTTCGACTTCACTCCATTCCAAAGCGGATGATTAATATGCAGCGCAAATCCGAATTTTGCGACACTAATATAAAATTTGGATTCTCATTACTATTATTTTTTACTCGGAGACTTAGTTGCTTAGCACGAATCACGATGCTATTGACATATTTTCCGACCGTTTAGGTAGGATAACCCTAGTTTGAATTTATAGATTTTTGTGTAATTAACGAAATCATAATACATAATTTTTGGATATGATATTATTGCATAATGTGACAGTCATAACTCATAATTGAAAGCACTTTTGACTGATTTTTGCTGTTTATGACTGATGATGACCTTCATAAATGTTATGAGTCTTGACTGTTGCATAAGGTGTTTTTTTTTTTCAAATGCAAATATCCTAAAAATAAGACCAACAATATAGTTAAATTATGTAATTGAAAAATTTATACGTTTAGTTTTCAAGTAAAAGGACAAAAACACTTCGAAAAAAAAAGAATCATCCTCTGAGTGCGGTGAATTACTGGTTCTACGCAATCTACATATAGAAACTGACCGTAACGTTGTATGTATTATTATTTTAATAAAACTTAGTATAATTAATTTCTTAATGTTTTTTTTGCAGATTTCAAAGCTATAATTCTGGCGAAAAACGACAAAAAGTATTTCATGTATAAGGGCTACACATACACCCTCGGGTTTAAGAGTCGCAACAGTCAAAGATGGCGGTGCACAAACACCTACAACTGTCGGGCGTACATCCTGGTGACCCATCAGGAGAAGTTCCTGGATGCGTTTGGGGACCACAACCACAGTCCTCCGAGATACCACGTCACATCTGACGGGAAATATTTGCGCATTTGAATACCCTAATATTGCGACACTTTCATTACTGGTCATAGTCCTTACTTTACAGTATGTATTTCCAACTGGTGGCGAAATTCAGTATTTTTATAGTTAAGTATGAATTAATATTTTGCTACATTTATTAATAAAGTCCTTTAAAATAGTAAAAAGTATTTATTTTAGACATCCCATATGAAATTATCGAATGCTGTATTTAAGTCATTTTCAGTAAGGACGTCTGACCATGAGGTGTTACTTATACAGTCTAAGAATTTTTCCATATTCTAAGAAGAGAATTCCTAAAAATAAGACCAGCAATTTAGTTAAATTATGTAATTGAAAATATACAATACGCTTGTTTTCAAGTAAAAGGATAAAAACACTTAAAAAAAAAGGAATCATCCTTTGAATGCGGTGAATTACTCGTTTTACGCACTCTAAAGGAACTAACCGCAACGTTATATTATTTTTTTAATAAAACGTAGTATAATTAATTTCTAATTTTCTTTCCAGATTTTAAAGCTATAATTCTGGCTAAAGGCGACAAAAAGTATTTCATGTATAAGGGTTACACCTACACGCTCGGGTTTATGGGCCGCAATAGTCAAAGATGGCGGTGCACAAACACCCACAACTGTCGGGCTTACATCCTGGTGACCCACCAGGAGCAGTTCCTGGATGCTTTTGGGGACCACAACCACAGTCCTCCGAGATACCACGTCACATCTGACGGGAAATATTTGCGCATTTGAATCCCTAATCCCTTTTGCGACGATTTCATATTAATTTAATTAGTACTATTATTGTTTGAGATTTAAAGTAGGTACATCACAATTAACGAGAAGTGTAGATAAATGAAGGCTACGGTAATTTATTGGGCTCAGTAGTTGACGCCATCCTGATAAGTTGAAATGCGATAGGTCTTCTACAACCCGTGTAGGCTTAGGATGCGCTTACCAGTCGGCGTCATAGAACAGATTACATAATAGTTACTGGTCATAGCATAGTCCTTATATTACAGTATGTATTTCCAACTGGTGGCCAAATTCAGTATTTTTATAGTTAACAGGGATTAATATTTTGCTACATTAATAAAGTCCTTTAAAATAGTAAAAAGTATTTATTTTAGATATCCCATATGAATCGCTACTAAAAACTAAATTTTTTACTTGTTAAATCACTTTTTTGCTTGCTACAACTGTTTTAATGTAATTTTCCTACTGCTGATATGGATATGACACCGCGATATGAGGTGCGATTGTGGTCAAATACCTGACTTGTTCTGCATAAAAAAAAAACATCCTAGAAACTTCTAAATAATATAGGTACAGTAACAAGTCTGCAAAATTATAAATGTGGCATGTACAATGTTGTTCGTGAGCTTCAATCGTAAGTTTATGTTTGTCTCAATGTATATTTTTTTCCAATTGTGCATTTTATTAAATAACATTTTTATTACTTTTAGCTCTGAAGCTGCCGTTAGGGTATGTCGAATCGCTTCTCAAGGCGAAGTTTTCGATAATGTACGCCTCCCCGTACGCACAAGAACAAAAACAAGAAACATACTACATCACCCGACCAGTTCCACAGCTTCAGTTTATTTCTCAACCGCAATTTATTCCTCAGTCGCAGTATATTTCACAGCCTGCACCCGTAATTGAAACTCTACCTGCACCCGTTATTGAACCTGAACCCCTATCTGGACTTAATTCTCTCCCTGATCCTGAACCCGTACCTAAATGCAAACCCCAATATGAACCTCAATCTGAACCCCAGCCTCAATCCCAGTATGAGCCCCAAACTAAACCCCGATTTGAATTCCAATATATATTCCAAACTGAACCGCAACCTCAACCCCGTTATGAAATTCAATTCCAACGCCAACCTGATCCCCAACCTGAACCCCAATCTGAAATTGAATCTGCACCTCAGTATGAACCCGAACCTGAACCCCGATATTCAACCAACTGTGGATCTCAAACTGAAACCTCATATGAACCTCAATGTGAAGCACAATCTGAATCCCTATCTGAATCCGAACCTGAACCCCAAGGTGACACCGAATCGGAATACGAATGTGATCACGAAGATGAAATTGAAGTAGAACCTGAATCGGTGCCTGGGTCCTCAGCTGAGACTCGACAAGTCAGAAAAAGGTCCAAAGCTAAACGATGCCGGTTTTGCCCTCGCAGGTTGGACCGGAAGACCAGGACCATGTGCAAAAAATGCAACCTATACATCTGCCTGGACCACGAAGTTAAGATCTGCATCAGCTGCCTCAGTATCATAGATATCGAACATGAGAAGAAGAAAGAAGGTGTTATTGCCATCGATTAGGTATTTTCTAATATGTTTGTCGGCCGTTTGGAGTAGTGGTTCAGAACGGACTACTATGCCGAGAGGTCCCGGGTTCGATTCCCGGCCGGGCAGGAATTGAAATGATGAATTTTAATTTCTGTGACGGGTCTGGGTGTTACTTGTTAATAATGGATGTATTTAAAAAAAAAAAGAAAAGTATTTAAGTATGTTTATATCCGTTGCCCATAGTACAAGCTTTGCTTAGTTTGGGACTAGAAGCGTAGTGTAAAAATGTCCAAGGATATATTTATTTATATTTATGTATAAGTATACAAGTGTTAAGTAACAGCACATGCGTTTTTTGTTGGAAAATCGTTCTTATTGTACTCTATGATACAACCAAGTTTAGCTTCGTGTGATGTCGTCTGTACGCTCACCAGCAAATCAACCTACCACAAAATAGTATTAATTTCAAATTGACATATTGAGGTTAATTGACTTGCTGATGACTGTAAAAACTTAAAATTATGTTACCTATTTTTTCTAATCACTTACTGACTTAAACAAAATTACCTAAAATGCAGTTTATGTCTGTGAAATCTTGAAAACGTGCCATTATATACTTTAGAAAACCAAAATTATTTTGTAGGTAAAATGTTACATAATGTATGTAGGTATAATGTATATGTCATATAGGTATGTATAAAAATGTTAGAATCTTAAACTAGGTGGAAGACTGTTAGAAAAATGCCAAAAATATTTGTAAAATACAGTCAGGTAATCTATGTATCTATCTATCATCTAATAAAATATCTAACTGTATCACAAACTATTCAACATTCAAAATTAAGTTCCAAAATTGATATTGGTCTAATTATGTAATTATATTTTAATCACAACCAAAACTTTTATTTTCTTGAATGATTCTTTATACTTGGCTTAAATATATTACATCTTAGAGATCCATACTAAATGCTTTCCAATTTACATAATTTACCTACTATACATATGATCCTTTTTGATCTCCGAAATATGTGTCAAATAAGGCTGTATGTTTCTTTAATAAAGATAAATAAATAAATAAATAAATATAAAAATAAAGAAATTATATTATATTTTTTGACATAAGCACATAGCAATTAATAATAATTAAAAATCTAATAAATAAGATATATCGCATTATAATTATTATTACTAACAAACAGTTTTAACGCTATTACTCTACATGTAATTTAGTGAATGATTTTTAAACTTTACCTATATTTTTGTTGATACTCCTTATGTCTGTTTATGTTTCATTGTTATATTTAAATTTGTTTATTTATTCTTCTATTTATAAATTACTACAGTGCATCATTCCGTAGATAAGTTGTAAACAAAGTTGTAAGATAAAAAATAACTTACACTTGACATTCGGCGACAATGTACTCGTAGTTACCAGAAAAACTATTTTTACAATCGTTAATCGGTCCAAAGGTTAAAAAAATATTTACAAAAACTCAAATGTAAGTTAATTGAAAATGGTTGTGTTATTTGTTTGTTACTTTTTATTACGAATTTGTTTTATCTAGTCTTATAGCGTTAACAATATTATGTGTCTATTATTAGATAGTATCCAATTAAATTGGATTTTTTTATGTGCAATATAATGGAACATAATGGATCTCACTATTTAAAATAGAATTAACTTGTAGGGCTTGTTTCGACGATTCCTGATAAAGTTTTAAATTCTGCCAGATGCGACAGATAAGTTCCTGATTAGGCTACCAAGAACTTTATCAGCTGGTCGTGACTGGCCCTTATTATTGTAACCAAATATATTATAGTAATACAATATTATTATAATCTCAGCCATAAATGGATATAATTAATTATGATTATTATACACATACAGTTCATTCAATAAATTACTATCAACTTGATGTCGAAGTTTTGTTGCCTATTAATTATTAAGTTTTCGAAACGATAAATCGGCATACATCAACTTTTCTTTCCCAACGTTGGGATTAGCTAACAAATATAAAATAAGAGCAACAACGAATGTCTACGAATTTAACATTGTACTAGAGTCTATACCTTCACCAGGAGCTTGATTGTTTTAGTCTTGAAAGTCCAGTATGGAAAAATCACATGAGTAAGCATTATTTCCAACAAAATTAATGTCCCCCGATAATCCTTAGAATTGCCTTTTGTCTGCTTATTATTTAATATGAATATCAACATTAATAGTCCTAATATAAAGAAAAAACCTCGAGAATGCAGTAAAGTAGGTATAGGTGTAATGAAGCTTCAAAATCAAATGCACGTTATTTGATTTTCCGATGGTGACGGGTTCCCGGTATATCCCAACCCCAAGGTAGTTGCAAAAGAGCTATTATTGTAACGTTNCCTGTTATATTTCCAGTAACGTTTGCCAAGTCTCAGAGAGGGGGGCAGCTTATAGTCTTCCAAGGTTACTCGTACAGCCTCCAGAAGTATAAGAACGCGGTGGCCCAGTGGAGGTGCACCATGGTCCAGCCTGGAACAGCTAAGAGGTGCACAGCGAAAGTCTTCACGGATACAGTGTACAAAGTCCTGGATAACAGCGGAGAGCATAACCATAGGAAACCGAGGTTCATCAAGAGAAATAACGTACTTGTAAGGGTGTATTAATGCAACAAGCAGGTTGCAGATCAAGAGTTTTTTAAGTCGGGGAAAAAATGCATGAAATTGCATACCACCTGGCCTGAGGGAACCAGTGCGTTATCCTCACTAGGGCCTACTTATCAAAACCTGACGGTGTCCTCCCAAAGTCTTTGGGACGGAACTGCGAGTTATTATCCGAGCTAGACGGCCTAGACATTGTTTCGCGGCTCCGCCCCATGCATACCTACCCTACGGGGAAAGGATAGGTTATGTGAGGCCCACCAAGTCAGAAGGACAAGGCATACATACCCACTAAAACGACCCCGGTGCTCCGTCATTCGTCTTAAGTGGAAAGGAAGTGTGGGTTACCGGCCAAAGCCACAGTCCCTCATTGCTAAGTTTCTTTAGCTTCGATCTCATAGCTGAAGCAGTTTCCCATAGTGTTTGTATAAATTAGCAGTTAGAGGTAAGATAGCCAGTTCCTCCGTGGTTGAGAATTCCGGGTGAAGCTCGGTTCCACCTTCGGCCTGATCGTTACTTACCATCAGGTGAGATACAGGCCAAGAGCTTCCTCGTTGTGGATAAATAAATAAAATAAAAAATTGCCCATGTTTTTGAAAAACTGCGTAAGCTATGCGAGCTTTTCTAAACTAACTTAGCTTAGCTCTTGGTTTGCAACCGGCAACAATATCTATAAGAGATTTCATTTTTGAAATATTTCATATACCTTCTTACATAACTACTTATTGTAGTAAATATTTTTTTATATTTTATATGTATAAAATCATATTTTTTCTAGCTTGGCCTATTTTGTGCCTTTAATTCATAAATGCGTAATTTATTGTATCTTAAATATTATTATATTTGTTATTGTTTTTGTACATTATTGACAAGAAATGAAAAACCAAAGTTGTGAACAAAATTAAATTTAAATTAAATGTTGGACTAACTAAGTAACAAAACATATCTTTATAAGAAAGTACCTAAGTACTATCATTTAACTTGTAATATTATTTATTATATAAAGTATAACTTTTGTTGATTACTTCAAATATTTAATTATTATTACCTATATTAAAGTTCAAAAGACTGATAGTTGTGTCTTATATTTATAGATAAATAACTTGTGTTAGTAAAATGTGTACTATACGAGTTATATTAACTTTTATTCCAAACT